TTTACTAGACTCTTGTTCGCACAGATTACAGTGAGTTATTCCTAAGAATTACAGGCCTACAATAAAAAAAACAACATATTTCCATGCAAAATAATGGTACCGCTTTCAGCACCAACAATCTGAAATAATCAGACCGCTAGGGAGGTTAAAGGAGGGTTTGCAGTTTGGCATTTTTGCCCTGGGTGCTGGATGACCTTGTCCCAACTCTGTACATGTGCATCCATTAAAGACTGCATTTTACCACCCAAGTTATGCTCTTGCATCCCCTCCTTTAAGAGCTCCTCTGCATACCTCACCATCCATTTTTGGGGGGTCAGCTCATCAATTTGGAGTGGCATGCACATACTCTTGGCAATAAAGTGCAAATAGATAAATAGCAGATGGATAGATAGATAGATAGATAGATAGATAATAGATAGATAGATAATAGATAGATAGATAGATAGATGATAGATAGATAGATAGATATGAGATATAGATATAGATAGATAGATAGATAGATAGATAGATAGATAGATAGATAGATAATAGATAGATAGATAGATAGATAGATAGATAGATAGATATAGATAGATAGATAGATAGATAGATAGAATTAAAGAGATACATAAAAAGTAGGATGAGTCAATCTATCTGCAAACATTAGGCTGACTATCTGGAGGTCGAGATTTTCATTAGAAAGATAGATAGATATAGATAGATAGATAGATAGATAGATAGATAGATAGATAGATAGATATGAGATAGATAGAACAGATAGATAGAGATAGATAGATAGATAGATAGATAGATAGATAGATAATGATAGATAGATAGATAGATAGATAGATAGATAGATAGAGATAGATAGATAGAGATAGATAGATAGATAGATAGATAGATAGATAGATAGATAGATAGATAATAGATAGATAGATAGATAATAGATAGATAGATAGATAGATGATAGATAGATATATATAGATAGATAGATAGATAGATAGATAGATAGATAGATAGATAGATAGATAATAGATAGATAGATAGATAGATAGATAGATAGATAGATAGATAGATAGAGATAGATAGATAGATAGATAGATAGATAGATAGATAGATAGATAGATAGATAGATAGATAGATAGATAATAGATAGATAGATAGATAGATAGATAGATAGATAGATAGATAGATAGATAGATAGATAGATAGATAATAGATGATAGATAGATAGATAGAGATAGATAGATAGATAGATAGATAGATAGATAGATAGATAGATAGATAGATAGATAGATAGATAGATAGATAGATAGATAGATAGATAGATAGATAGATAGATAGATAGATAGATAGATAGATAGATAGATAGATAGATAGATAGATAGATAGATAGATAGATAGATAGATAGATAGATAGATAGATAGATAGAGATAGATAGATAGATAGATAGATAGATAGATAGATAGATAGATAGATAGATAGATAGATAGATATAGATAATAGATAGATAGATAGATAGATAGATAGATAGATAGAGATAGATAGATAGATAGATAGATAGATAGATAGATAGATAGATAGATAGATAGATAGATAGATAGATAGATAGATAGATAGATAGATAGATAGATAGATAGATAATAGATAGATAGATAGATAGATAGATAGATAGATAATAGATAGATAGATAACAGATAGATAGATAGATAGATAGATAGATAGATAGATAGATAGATAGATAGATAGATAGATAGATAGATAATAGATAGATAGATAGATAGATAGATAGATAGATAGATAGATAGATAGATAGATAGATAGATAGATAGATAGATAGATAGATAGATAGATAGATAGATAGATAGATAGATAGATAGATAGATAGATAGATAGATAGATAGATAGATAGATAGATAGATAGATAGATAGATATGAGAGAGGATGGAGGGAAGGATTTATTAAAAAAAACAGAATACCTATATAGATATGAAAGGAAGAATGGATGGATGGATTGATGGATCCATGGATAGATAGGTGGATACACAGATGGATGGATAAAATATTATATATTACATTCATTCTATTATGTCCTGAGCAAAAATTGCTTTTTATTTTTTTGAAACAGAAAAAAAAATGAGCGGAAATGCTTCCTCTTTGGGTGTTTCCAAATTCTGCTTTTAATTCCCTGCCAGAAATTCAGTGAGGTGTTCTTAAGATGTGTCAACGTCCTTCAACTTATTAAAGATCAGTACATTTTTTCGGACATAACAAAAGGCAAAGTCAATAAACCATGTCCATGCCTTGAAAGGGAATGTCCACCCTTCCTCTGAGACATCAACAGGACCTGTGCCATGTATACAAACAGTTCCTCTTTCGCATTGTTTAAAGCTAAAATTCTAATTGCAAGAAAACATAACAGTTAATAAACAACGACAGCATACCGCGTGACAGCAGTTTACTCTAGGGAATATATGAATTCAAGAAGGAAGTGCAATTAGTCCTTTAAAGTAATTGCAAATGCTTACTTTTTTTTTAATTAAAATAACAAACATGTCATACTTACATACTCTTTTGCACAGAGCAGCCCCGATCCTCCGCTTCTCAGGTCCCCTGCTTGTGCTCCTGGCTCCTCTCTCTCTCACCTGCCAAGTGCCCCATAGCAAGAAGCTTGCTTTGGGGGGGCACTCGTGGGCTTGCTCCTGAGCCACACTCTGTGTGTCCATTGACACACAAAGCGCAGCTCAGCCCCACCCCCTCCCTCCTCACTGGCTGTAATTGACAGCAGCAGGAGCCAACGGCTCCCACTGCTGTCTCTGCCCAATGAGGATTGAGAGAGTTGAGAGAGCCTCTGCTCTTGTACACATTGCTGAATAAAGATCAGACTCAGGGAAGTATAAGGTGGAGTTGGGAGTTCTGCATGCAGAAGGTTTTCCTTCTGCCTTTAGAACTCTTTTAACTTCCATTTCAAAGGTAGGTCTAGCAAAGTGTTTTCCTTTGGCCAAACGAGAGCAGGCAGAAAGGAAGAGAAGAGACTGAGAGCCCATGTGGGGAGATGGTATCTGGAGACACATTGGTCTTATGTGCTGAAGCTAAGAGATATAGAATCCATGTCCAGCTCCAGTAAAGGAGAGTGTTGCTGGTAGCCCATGCACTTGGCTCTAGGCTCTGCTGCTGCCAGAAAGTGCTTGGGGAACCTGACCTGGACTGTACAGTGCTGCCTAAAGGAAGAGAGCTACCTGGAAACTGCTACCTGGGAGGACTGAGCTACCTGTGAGGACTGAACTGCTGGTTGGGTTTGTTGCCCCAACAAAATATCCACAGCTCGGGTATGTCGGAGAGCATGGTACTGCTTGCAGAGCCATGGCGACTGGGAACAGGGGACCTGAGAAAAAAGTGGCTCCTTTGGGGGTGAGCAGTACATACAGTATATGTATGTGAGATAGGGACCTTAGATTGTAAGCTTCTTGGTGCAGGGGTTGATGTACTTTATATATAGTGTATAAAGTGCAATGTAAATTGTTGGCACTATATACATGCCTGAAATAATAAAAATAGTGCCAAGCTAATGCTATTGACACATGGTAAAAGCTTATCAATGGAGGACTGGATAGACATAAAAACCCAACAAAAGTGTTAATCATTCTTTACTTTATCCAAACTGTGAAAAAACATTTTGGGTTGTCATGCACTTTAAGTAATAGCTACAAGAAAGCCATAGTTCTTCTATGTAACCAAACATATACTTGTCAAAGTGGAGCTCCACCCAAAAAGGGAAATTATGCTTTAAGGCTTTGTCCCCCACTCCCCGTTAAGGATTGGCACCTTTGGGGAGCGGGGTGGGGATGTCCCGAATTCGATAGGCACTAGCTCCCACTTCCGCTAGCGATTGGAAGTGGAGGTTGCCCCCCCTTTGTAGTCTTCTTGACAGGTCCCAGAAGACTACAAGACCATTCACAAAGTGCGTGCCACTCGACTATTCGCAGTGGGTACCCGGCTGTGAAGTGCAAGCTGTCCCAGCCAGGTGTCCACACTGAAGATGCCTGAGCCAGGTACACAGGATGGCTGGTGAACCTGGCCGATGTGAGGAAACCGCGAGATTGAGGGACATGTTTTTTTTAAAAGTCAGCAGCTACAGTTTTGGGTGGGGTGGGGGTGTCCCGAATTCGATAGGCACCAGCTCCCACTTCCACTAGCGATCGGAAGTGGAGGTTTCCACCCCTTTGTAGTCTTCTTGACAGGTCCCAGAAGACTACAAGACCATTCACAAAGTGCGTGCCACTCGAGTATTCGCAGTGGGCACCCGGCTGTGAAGTGCAAGCTGTCCCAGCCAGGTGTCTACACTGAAGATGCCTGAGCCAGGTACACAGGATGGCTGGTGAACCTGGCCGATGTGAGGAAACCACGAGATTGAGGGACATGTTTTTTTTTAAAGTCAGCAGCTACAGTTTTGGGGTGGGGTGGGGGTGTCCCGAATTCGATAGGCACCAGCTCCCACTTCCACTAGCGATCGGAAGTGGAGGTTTCCCCCCCTTTGTAGTCTTCTTGACAGGTCCCAGAAGACTACAAGACCATTCACAAAGTGCGTGCCACTCGAGTATTCGCAGTGGGCACCCGGCTGTGAAGTGCAAGCTGTCCCAGCCAGGTGTCCACACTGAAGATGCCTGAGCCAGGTACACAGGATGGCTGGTGAACCTGGCCGATGTGAGGAAACCGCGAGATTGAGGGACATGTTTTTTTTTAAAAGTCAGCAGCTACAGTTTTTGTAGCTGCTGACTTTTATTTGTTTTAATTTTGACTGGAGCTCCACTTTACTATAACCCTCTTGGAGTCTCCAACAGCAAGCTCTACCTTCCATAGTTCCCTACGTTGTTCATGTCCACCTGTGGGTTTTGGGTGGGCTGATCCTTTAAGAAAGCAAAATAACCAGACAACTAGCATTTTCAGGAGACTACAGCAAAGAAAGCCTAGATATTTCTCTAAATACAAGTTTATTAACTCATAAGGGAAAACATCTCACCTCCGTCCTTCTGTGCCAAATAATGGACACAGTACTTTTCATCTCCAGTGCAGTTAATTGGTTTTTTCGTGGCACAAGAGTGAGAATCTCTTGAAAAACAGGAGTCACAGGTCACCCCGTTAGATGCTGATTCTGGTATGTTCCCTGAGAAAAAAAGAAGAAAGTCAGATAAACTCCCTAATTCCTAAATTCCTATATATTTTCTTTTATACTCAACCAATGTTCTGCTCAGGATAAAAGTCAAGAGAGATTTCTCTTATTTTCCTATCCCAGGAAGTGAGAGGAAATCCCTCCAGTGAGGAAATCAACCAGATAGTCATCAGAACTAGTGTCCTCATTTGAAAATTTTCCCTCTATTCCTTTTCTGGTGACAACCCAAAATGTATGATCTTCTTTCATGTCCACATTAGATGATAACAGTATAAAAAATAAAATGTTTTATTTTTTTTTGTGGTCACATAATATATGTTCCCAGCTACATAAGGGGCTTGGAGAGGTCGGCGTGGAGAAACAGTAGTACACTGATTTTCCCAGTGAATGGCTGTGTAGGGGGACAGCAGAAGTATGATCATTAGAACACAGACAGAAAACTGACCACATTGAGAAGGATGTACTCCATTGCCTAGTGTGGTCATTTTGAAATAGGAGAGCATATTTCACACAAAGGAAGCAATACAAAGAGAACAGGATATGTTTTAACACAAGTACATGGTAAAAACATATATCAGGAATATGAAATATTGGGGTAAAATATTCTTTCAAGATAATCCTGTATATGATATTTTCTTTCCTTTCCTTTTTCCTTCCCTTTCCTTTCCTCTTTTCTTTCCTTTTTCCTTTCCATTTCTTTCCTTTCCTTTCCTTTCTTTTTCTTTTCTTTTCTTTTCTTTTCTTTCCTTTCATTTTTACTTTCCTTTCCTTTCCTTATATTTCCTTTCCTCCTTCCCTCATCGCATGATTTTGTGTCATGCAACCTCCCTCCCTGTCTATCTAAGACACCCACCACCCATCAATGAAAAGATTGAACCTTCCTGACCTTCTCACAGTCCAGTGGTACCCTAGAACAGAATGATTTAGAAGTGGGGGGCTCTTTAGGAAATGCTGGTTGGAAACCAGTGGGGTTCTCTTTAGGAAATGCTGGTTGGAAACCAGTGGGGGTCTCTTTAGGAAATGCTGGTTGGAAGCCAGTGGGGGTCTCTTTAGGAAATGCTGGTTGGAAACCAGTGGGGGTATCTTTAGGAAATGCTGGTTGGAAACCAGTGGGGTTCTCTTTAGGAAATGCTGGTTGGAAACCAGTGGGGGTCTCTTTAGGAAATGCTGGTTGGAAACCAGTAGAGGCCTCTTTAGGAAATGCTGGTTGGAAACCAGTAGGGGCCTCTTTAGGAAATGCTGGTTGGAAACCAGTAGAGGTCACTTTAGGAAATGCTGGTTGGAAACCAGTAGAGGTCACTTTAGGAAATGTTGGTTGGAAACCAGGAGCCCTGAGCAGGTGAGCTCTACATCTTGTATGTATTTTAATGTTTATTTTTCAGCTTGAAGTGGATTATACTTTTAATTATTTTTTGTGACTTCTGCATGACTCGCATTTCTTAGTAGTTTCAAAAGCCTTTCATAGGAAAGAGAAGATGTAGCTGGATTGCCAATAAAGATGTTACAGTTAGCTGGAAAGTGTTTTGTCATGGAGGTCACCAAAAAGTAAAATGCAAGCTGAACTCCAGCCAGATGTAGAAAACAAAACGTAATGCAGTTATGTGTTCTTTAAAAATAAAGAAATAAATTACTATATATATAAATATATCTTCAATAAACGTGCAGTTGGGAAGGGGGGTGGCATAAATGCGCAATTCAGCAGCATTTTTGCCGCCCACCAAGCCAATGGGGATATTTAGGTGTAATACTTCGCTTCCTGCCCATGGCAAAGTTTCCCTGACACATGGCAATCGGTGGGTGACATGCTTGAGGAATGCTACACTCGCAAGCAAATGTGGACTACAAATATCCCACAACTGTGTGAAATGCATGCAGTTGCAGCACATTTGTAGGCAAAAATGGGGCTAAAACAGGCAGTGAGGAGGCGTCACATGTCTTTCTCACCACCTGCAAGTAGCCTCTGAAGTGCAATCCAAATGCAGATCAGGCTTCAAAGGAGGGGAGGGTTAGATGCACGTCTAAATCTAATATATGCAGTATATATATAGTATATATATATATATATATATATATATATATATATATACGTGTGTATATATATATATATATATATATATACTATATATACAGCCTTTGATATTGGGTGAGAGGAAATAAGGTGGGGGCAAGCAGCGCTGGGACTAGGGGAGTGTGGGAGGGGCAGCAGTGAGGGCAGTGACAAGCAGCAATCTCCCGTATGACTTTCAATGAAGCAGCTGAAAACCACAGGAGGGATAGGAGAATCAGCTTCCAGCTGCTTCATTGAAAGTCAGACAGGAGATTGCTGTTTGTCAGTGCCCCCACCGCTGCACCGATCATCCCCAATCATTCCATTTCTTTCCCCCCCCCCCCCCCGCTGTGTGCTCCTCAGTACCCAGTCCTTTCCCCCATCCTCCACACCAATAGGAGAAGAGGGAAGAGAGACTGGATCTGTTTTGCCTCCTCCTGTGCCCACCTACACTCCGGGAAATTTCCCGTGGGCGGGAAATTGAACGCAGAACAGCTGACAGCTGTGATGCTTCTGACTGAGCATGTGAGTCCGACCTCCCTTCCTTCCACCCACCCCTCCCTCCCTTCCTTCCACCCACCCCTCTCTCCCTGCCTTCCTTTTTATCCATCCGTCCCTCTCTCCCTGCCTTCCTTCCTTTCATCTTTCCCTCCCTCCCTCTCTCCCTCCCTTCCTTCCTTCCTTCCTTCCTTCTTTCCTTCCTTCCTCCCTCCCTTCCTTCCCACCCCTTCCTTCCACCCCTCCCTCCCTTCCACCCCTCCCTTCCTTTCCACCCCTCCCCTCCCCCCCCCTTCCTTCTTCCACTTCTCCTTCCACCCCCTCCTTCTCATCCCTTCCTTCCAACCCTCCATTCCTTCCTTCCACCCCTCCCTCCCTGCCTTCCTTCTTTCCACCCTCGATAGATAGATAGATAGATAGATAGATAGATAGATAGATAGATAGATAGATAGATAGATAGATAGATAGATAGATAGATAGATAGATAGATAGATAGATAGATAGATAGATAGATAGATAGATAGATAGATAGATAGATAGATAGATAGATAGATAGATAGATAGATAATAGATAGATAATAATAGATAGATAGATAGATAGATAGATAGATATGAGATAGATAGATAGATAGATAGATAGATAGATAGATAGATAGATATGGATAGATAGATAGATAGATAGATAGATAGATAGATAGATAGATAGATAGATATAGATAGATAGATAGATAGATAATAGATAGAGATAGATAGATAGATAGATAGATAGATAGATAGATAGATAGATAATAGATAGATAGATAATAGATAGATAATAGATAGATAGATAGATAGATAGATAGATAGATAATAGATAGATAGATAGATAATGGATGGATAGATTAATAGGATGGATATCCCTATATCTCTTCCACTGTGTATTGCCGTTCACCTAATGCACCATAAATAGGATGTTACCCCGGGTGCATTGCCCACTACTGTATAAGTGTGTTGGGTTGCCATTCAAAATCCAGGTCATGCATTAATGTGCGTTGTGGTAAAGTGGTAAAACGCATGGCATTTTTTTCCTGTGCAATACTGCAACACCTAAGCATTGATGCCCCTTTCATTTGCCTTTTAAACTGAATTGACGCACTTGGATCGAATCCGAATATTAGTTTACGTAACAAAACTGTTCAAACAAACATTTCCACATCCATCAGATTTAGGGTCTAAAATCCAAATATGAAATGTGTTTCTAATTTGGCAGAAATGAAAAAGTGTGATTCCCCAGCCAGGGACATATTTCATGAGTCAGATATGAAGTTTGGTGCCGAGAAGATGAACATTCTGCTTAGAGACAATCAGTTACACCCGAGATTGTTAGGAATGCATTTACATTAGCAAAAGTGAACTGGTAAATACAAATGATATCAGGTCCTGTGCAGGGGAGGACTGACCATTTGGAAACACTGCCCGAGGGCCCGGGGTCAGTAGGGGGCCCCATGAGATGCCCCTGGTACCTTTTTCATAGGCTTTTATGAATTTGGGCAAGGACACAGGGGCCCCATGATCCCCTATTGCCCGGGGGCCCCATGAGTTGTCAGTCCGCCCCTGGTTCTGTGCACTCAGAAGCAGTATAGGCAGGGGCGGACTGACCATTCGGTACTTGGGCACTGCCCGAGGGCCCGGGGTCAGTAGGGGGCCCCAATGAGATACCCCTGGTACCTTTCATAGGCTTTTTTGGGTGTGGTTTGAGTATGGGCAAGGACAAAGGGGCCCCATGATCCCCTATTACCTGGGGGCCCCATAAGTTGTCAATCTGCCCCTGAGTATAGGGGACCTGCAGATCAAGGTATTCTGTAACTCAGGGGAGGGTTCACTGCTGGAGAGGACTGCAATGTGTGCAAAGGCTAGTTCCTGGTTTGCTTTAAAGCTGAACTATCAAATATACTCAATAATAACAACAAAGGATATAAATCCATTTTTTGCGCACCAAATGCTTTTTCAAACCCAGATATTACCTTGTAAAAGCAGCAGTGACATCATCACTGTGCTGTCCATAGCTGTGCAAAGAGCAGAGCTGTGGGAGGAGCCCAGGAGACTCCACCCACATAGGGCTGCCTGCAGAAAACTACAGGAGGGGGTGGAGGCAAGACCTTTCAGCCTATTCCATGAACTGCACCGCACTGGGTTGGCTTCTTGCGCTGCTTCTCCCTTGCCCTATCCGAACTCGGAAACACTACAAATTCAAATGTCTTTCCTGCCAAATTATTTGTATTTCTTTCCATCCAGTCCTGAGATTTATATAGTTCTGCCATGCAGAGCAGTCCAGCCTGACAGAGGTTGGGAGATGACCTTTCCCTGCCGCAGTTTCACTTTCACTTGCATGTCTCCTCCTCACCTGCATCCTGTGACTAGAAGGTGACCAGAGAAGCAGCTGACTGATGAACTCTGTCCTCCTATCAGCATGTCCTTTTCAATGCATCACACTTGACTGGCTCCTTGTACTGCTTCTTCCTCCCTCAGTCTGAGCTCTGCTGCACAGGGAAGGCGAGAGGCTTATACCAAATCAATTTCAGGTCCTTATATTCAGTGGTGTATTTAGGTTTTGTGCTGCCCTAGGCAACAAAAAATTTGCCCCCCCCCCCCCCCCGCCGGAGAGAGCCTGACATTGACCAACAACACCCCTTCTACCCCCCCCCCCCACCCAAGAGAGCCTTCCACTACCTTCGCCCCCATACACCAGCCACTCCCCTCCCAGAGGGAGAGAGAGAGACACTCACCTTCACAGCTCTGAACATCCCCGGGAACGAGAGTCAAGCAGTCTGCAGCCTCTCTCAGATCCCACCTGGTCCCCAAGCTGCATGTGTCCCTTCTTCTGCTCCTTCTTTCAGGGGGTAGTGTGAGCCCCCCTGAAAAATGCCACCCTAGGCAAATGCCTTGTTTGCCTTGTGGTAAATACGTCCCTGCTTATATTACCTACAGAGCATTTCAGAAATATATTTCATGATTAGAGAGCTGCATTTATTTGTGTCTTTTACATCTACCAGGAGTTCGGTTTTGAAGAATAATTATTCTTCTACTTGCAGTATCTCCGGGATAACCAAATTCCCACCAATGAGATGAGCCATGAACACATAGCGTGCGATAAAACAAACAAAGCTGCTAAAATCACATTTTTGCTGCGTTTCAAAATATATAAAAAAAAGAAAAATTAATATAAATATGATCTAGAGAACGACTTACAAGTGATAGTGCCGTTGTTGCAGAAGTCCTTATCGCAGCACTTTCTTGTCACTCTTACTTTGAAGTCCTTGGCGTTTAAAGTCGCCGGGTGCGTGCAGTCATAGGCACTGGCACAAGACTTCTCCAGCTCAGCACTTCTGTACGTGTCTGCAAAATACAACATAAACCATTGAAGTGGAAGTATGAGCCCATTATGAGGGGGTCCCACCATCCCTGTGATGAGTTATTGGGTCTGTACACCTGCTGTGCTCATTATGAGTGGGTCCCACCATCCCTATGCTGATATTCCAGGTCTACACACCTGCTATGACTATTGTGAAGGGTTCCCATCACCCCTATACTGAGTTCCCAAGTCTGTCCACCCGCTGTGCTCATTATGAGGGGTTCCCATCACCCCTGTGCTGAGTTCCTGGGTCTGTCCACCCGCTGTGCTCATTATGAGGGGTTCCCATCACCCGTATGCTGAGTTCCCGGGTCTGTCCGCCCGCTGTGCTCATTATGAGGGGTTCCCATCACCCGTATGCTGAGTTCCCGGGTCTGCCCGCCCGCTGTGCTCATTATGAGGGGTTCCCATCACCCCTGTGCTGAGTTCCCGGGTCTGTCCGCCCACTGTGATCATTATGAGGGGTTCCCAACATCTCTGTGCTGAGTTCCCAGGTCTGTACACCCGCTGTGCCCATTATGAGGGGTTCCCACTATCCCTATGCCGAATTACCAGGTCTACACACCTGCTATGACTATTATGAAGGGTCCCCATCACCCCTGTACTGAGTTCCTGGGTCTGTACACTCGCTGTGCCCATTATGAGGGGGTCCCACCATCCCCATGCTGAATTCCCAGGTTTACACACCTGATATGCCCATTTTGAGGGGTTCCCACCATCTCTATGCTGAATTCCCAGGTCTTCACGCTTGTTATGTCCATTATGAGGAGTATCTACCATCCTTGTACAAAGTTATTGGGTCTGCACACCTTCTGAGCCCACCATCCCTGTACTCGGGCAGACTGACAACTCATGGGGTCCCCGGGCAATAGGGGATAATGGGGCCCCTATGTCCTCGCCCACACTCAAACCACACCCAAAAAAGCCTATGAAAGGTACCAGGGGCATCTCATGGGGCCCCCTACTGACCCCGGGCCCTCAGGCAGTGCCCGAGTTTCCAAATGGTCAGTCCGCCCCTGATTGTGAGTATGATACTTACTTTGTTCCTTCAATAAATATTTTTTAAACGATCATGCACTAGGTCGGTGCGCCCTCTTTTTTGTTTCTCTATATATAAAATCATATTCCATTGGCAGCTATAATGGCTTCTTTAAAGATGTTTTATGTAAGTTGTTAAAAACTGCCAAGTAATGATGAATGTTTGATAAAGTGTCTTGATAAAATATTCTGGAGTGTAACTGATAAGCATAAAGGTGGGCAGCGAGCCATAAAAAGCCCTATAAAAGTGTGGACTGTAATCAATCTAATGCGAGCATCTGATGGGCGGGGCATGGGTGCTCTCATACAATTGTATTATCGCTAATAAACATATGATTCGGAACTCTCGTGCCGCAAGGTTATTTATTTCAGGTGTAAAGCCGCAAAATCCCTAATCACTGTCATATGATGACTTTTACCACCCCCCGTTTTTTTATACTCAGACAATCCCGTCTCCCACTTAATAAAGGAATCAATTACTTTCACCGTCGATCACCAACATCTCCGTGAGGGTCACCATGCAGCGGTTCTGGTCAGACTTGCAGGTCTCGTAGTGGCCGGTACAGGTGTTTGAATTTATTGCCAAACATACATCACACTGTAGGGCAAAACCTGCAAAGACATGGAACATCTTCAGTCAAATATTTTTTCAACAAGAACCATCTCGTGTTATGACAGGAAGGCAATGTAATCTTTATACAAACATGGAATTAATGTAGACCTACAGGCTAGACATAAAAATCAGAAATAAAAATGTCTAATGTGATGGCCTATTTATGGCCATCTTGTTTTCCATTTTCGATGCAATATTTGAAGAAAGTGTAGCACTACCCCCTTAGGAGTCGCTAGAGATTTGGGTCCCCCCCATAGTCCTGCACATCCAGGCAACATGCATTTTTCACAAACATGCATTCCAAAGACAGTAAACAGTCCTTGAGCTTGGTTTTTTTGTTTATTAGAGGATATTGAACTTGGATGGGTAAGGGGAGTATGGGATGCCCAAGGGAACTGCAACTGAGGAAAACTTCCTGGAACTATGTACAATTCTTACACAGCAAATGTCTCTTCCTGGATATCTCTCCAACCTCTCCTGGTTTAGCACCCCAGATGCTCCTCTATTCAGCTTTGTGAAGGAATCCCTGGGCCGGGGATCCATTGTCTGTCACTTTAAATGGAAGACAGTCCTGGGACGAAAGCTTATCCAGTTTCCCACCAGAGTGCTCTTTCCTCTTTCTGGCCCAGGGGGTGTAGGTCTACTCACTCAGTCCTCTTTTCTGTGAGCAAATGGGTAAGTCGCTGCTCTCAGGCCTTCTGCTGGGCTTCTCTTCCCTGCTGCACAGATGGTACTTGCTCTGGGGGCAGATGTGGTCCTGAGGTTTCCTCCTTTCCAGCGGCACTGCCTGGAGGTAAGCCTCTTCCCAACTGGGCCCCCTTCCAAAGTCCTGCACCTCAGTTTTCTCACTCCACCTTTCACCTGAACTCTCCTCTTGTTGAGTAGGCTCAAAAACATTTAAGAGCTGTCCTGACCCCATGCCAAGCCTCCTGCTTGGGGATTGGTCAGGATCCCCTAAGAGTGCAGGCCAGTCTCTCCTCACCCCTGCCCACTGCATCTAGAATCTTCTCCAAGATTCCAGAGCAGGGGGAGTTATCAGAGATCTGACCTGCAGAGCCTCTCATCCCTGACCCAAATTTGACCCTGATAACTATTACACCCAGGCTGCTACTCAGCCTCTGACTTAAAAAAGAACACTAGCTACCCCTAGCTATCTAGAGGGGTGCTATAAAAGAAAACATTAAACGTTTGTGAAGCTGCCACTGGTTAGAGGCTCAGAGTCCTCTGATTCCTCCACCCCTTCCCCTTCCTTTTCACATGAGAGGTCTCACTCCCCCACACACACTTTTTGCACCAGACTCCTAAGTCCTCCACCTTTTTCCCATTTCACAAGAGAGTCCTACCCCCCGATCTTCACCAGCACAGCTGTGGCAGCATAGCAGTTGGGTGGGTAGTGGAGCAGTCCTAAATGGAGGCAGACGTCTGTCCCTTTCTGAATGCCCATCACCCTTGTTTAGCATCATTAGCATTTTCATAGACTTGTCATTTTATATTTTTGGTACTTTAATGAGTGTTTTTTTTGTTTTTGGTTAGCTTTTAAATTGGTGGTGACTGAGGACTCAGTGACATATACATGCAGACAGAGTGGCAACCATAAGAGCATAACAGCATAGTGAGGGGCAGCTTTGAACAACAACCATGAAAATACGATTGGTGGAAATTGCATTTTAAATATTACATTGCAATATTACAGTGCAATGGTCTCCAAACTGTTGCCCTGGGGTGGGATGTTGCCCTTTCCTTGCCTTTATCTGGCCCTTGAGTTATTATTCCTGCCACTGACAACAACAATTCCTGCCACAGACACCACCAATGGGCCACTAGTCTTTCCATTGACACCAACGGTGGGGCATAATTCCTTCCACTGACACCAACAATGGGCAATTATTCCTCCCACTGGCATCAACTCTTTCTCCCGCTAATACCAAAGATTGTTTACTCCCATTGCGCACAGCCAGCTCCCTTAAAGTCTGAAAGACAGTAAACTGTCCCTTTCTTTGGAAAGTTTGGAGACCCCTGACATAGTGGATGTGGAACCTTCTACTACTATTCCATCTTTACCCTTTAAATTGCTACCAAGTAGACAGAGAAGTGTATTTCACACCCCATAATGAATCCTTGGAGGAGTCCCACAAGTTGACCTAAATCAGGTAAGACTATCTTAAAATACCAGCTTTTCATTAAGTTAAGTTCCATTCCAAAATAAATATACCTGATCTATACAATCTGGATGGGATTAGTTTGTGGCTTTTTCAAGCATTGTTTCAAAAGTGTATACAAAACAAGAACCTCCAGGGAACCAGAGCCAGCTCACAGGGAACTCAGAGGAAGAATGGTAATCCTATTATATAGTATGTGTTTCATGTGAGACAAAGACACATGTAGATTCCATTCAAAGCCAAACACAATGTTCCTTCAAACAGGTTTTGACATCTCATACCTCTGTGTTATTTTATGGATCCAGATGACCCTTTCTTTGGAAAGTTTGGAGACCCCTGACATAGTGGATGTGGAACCTTCTACTGATATGCTATCTTTACCCTTTAAATTGCTACCAAGTTGATAGAGAAGTGTATTTCACACCCCATAATAAATCCTTGGAGGAGTCCCACAGTTGACCTAAATCAGGTAAGACTATCTTAAAATTCCGGCTTTTCATTAAGTTCCTTTCCAAAATAAATATTTGTAATCTAGACAATCTGGATGGGATCAGTTTGTGGCTTCTTCAAGCATTGTTTCAACAGTGTATACAAAACAAGAACCTCCAGGGAACCAGTGCCAGCTCACAGGGAACTCAGAGGAAGAATGGTAATCCTATTATAGTATGTTTCATGTGAGACAAAGACACATGTAGATTCCATTCATAGCCAAATACAATGTTCCTTCAAACAGGTTTTGACATCTCATACCTCTGTGTTATTTTATGGATCCAGATGACCCTTTCTTTGGAAAGTTTGGAGACCCCTGACATAGTGGATGTGGAACCTTCTACTGATATGCTATCTTTACCCTTTAAATTGCTACCAAGTTGATAGAGAAGTGTATTTCACACCCCATAATAAATCCTTGGAGGAGTCCCACAGTTGACCTAAATCAGGTAAGACCAGGGGCGGACTGACCATTTGGAAACTCGGGCACTGCCCGGGCCCGGGGTCAGTAGGGGGCCCCATGAGATGCCCCTGGTACCTTTTTCTTAGGCTTTTTTGAGTTTGGGCAAGGACACAGAGGCCCCATGATCCCCTATTGCCCGGGGGCCCCATGAGTTGTCAGTCCGCCCCCTGGGTAAGATTATATTAAAATTCCGGCTTTTCATTAAGTTCCTTTCCAAAATAAATATTTGTAATCTAGACAATCTGGATGGGATCAGTTTGTGGCTTCTTCAAACATTGTTTCAAAATTGTATACAAAACAAGAACCTCCAGGGAACCAGTGCCAGCTCACAGGGAACTCAGAGGATGAATGGTTATCCTATTATATTACATTTCATGTAAGACAAAGACACATGTAGATTCCATTCATAGCCAAACACAATGTTCCTTCAAACAGGTTTTGATATCTCATACCTTTGTGTTATTTTTTGGATCCAGATGGCCCTTTCTTTGGAAAGTTTGGAGACCCCTGACCTAGTGGATGTGGAACCTTCTACTGATATGCTATCTTTACCCTTTAAATTGCTACCAAGTTGATAGAGAAGTGTATTTCACACCCCATAATAAATCCTTGGAGGAGTCCCACAGTTGACCTAAATCAGGTAAGACTATCTTAAAATTCCGGCTTTTCATTAAGTTCCTTTCCAAAATAAATATTTGTAATCTAGACAATCTGGATGGGATCAGTTTGTGGCTTCTTCAAGCATTGTTTCAAAAGTGTATACAAAACAAGAACCTCCAAGGAAGGAGAGCCAGCTCACAGGGAACTCAGAGGATGAATGGTAATCCTATTATATTACATTTCATGTGAGACAAAGACACATGTAGATTCCATTCATAGCCAAACACAATGTTCCTTCAAACAGGTTTTGACATCTCATACCTCTGTGTTATTTGTTGGATCCAGATGGAGCTTGTTGAGAATGGTAGTTCAGCTGCATTTGGTGGGGAACAGCTTGACTACACTCTATCTACAGGCAAAGGTATATTAAAATTTGACCTTTACATGTCTACATGGTTCCTGCCATAGAAAACAATCAGCTTCCAGGTTTTTTTGTTGCCAAAACGTAATTGAACAAGCTGAAGCTAGAAGCTGATTGGCTACCATGCGCAGCTGCACCAGATTTTGCACTCTCCAGTTTTAGTAAATCAAATCCATAGAGTACAGGGGATAGGAGTGCAAAAGACACGGAGTGAAGGGGTCAGGAGTAAGTAACCCAATGTGCCAGGGTCAGGAGAAATGAATAAAAAGAGAGACAAGAGTTAGGAAGAAGTAGAACACAGAGTGCAGATGTGAGGAGTAACACATTGAGTTGGGAGGGGGAATTTACTAAAACTGGAAAACACAGCTTCCAGGTCTGATTGTCAAAGCTTAACTGAATAATCTGAAGTTTGAAGCCGATTGGTTGCTATTCACAGCTGCACCAGATTTTGTGTGCTCTAATTTGAGTAAATCTACCCAATAGAGTACAGAAGTGCGAAATGCACAAAGTGCAGGGTTCAGAAGTAAGTAACACACATAATGCAGGGGTCAGGAGTAAGTAAGGCAGAGAGTGCAGGTTTCAGGAGTGCATAGTGCACAGTGCAGACTGGACTATTGATTTCCTCACACGGCATGTTACTGGGGAATCTTGTTTGCCAGACACAGAAACCTCAAAACAGGGACTGTTCCTCGAAAACTGGGATGAATGGTAACCATTAGCCAACAGGTGTTGATAGATGTCAGGTCTTCTAACAATTCTGTTTTTGTTACTCTGGATACATGGCAGAAATTCTCAAGGTCAGAGAAGGAGCACTGGTGTGGCCCTCCTGCAGTTTTCCTATCTCATGATTGGTAGGAGTACATTCAC